GGTTAGTGGAATCAGACACAAAGTATATACCATGGTGGAGTTATGAGAGGTTTGGACGATGAAGAAAGCTAACATATGGAAACTTCGTTAATGTGATCTTAAAGCTTATTCAAATAAATCCTTATCAGTTCAATCTTGTCATACAATGTATCTAAAAATTCTAATTCCAATACTAAGTCCCTAGCTATTATATTATATCTTCGATGATACTAATCTTAGTTTTTTCTTGAGGGGCCCTCCACATCCGTCTCAAGTTTCATTGTACGTATCTACCATACGAAAAAAAAGGCATGAAAGTGGTTGCAACTCACATCCACAAACCGAAACATTCTCTTCATTTCCATATTTTGTAGGACAAAATGTTTCTTCTTTTGTGCATTGCATCCTATTCAATCCCCATTCTTAGCTATCCATCCCTCATCTTCTGTCCAATTAATGACTCTATTGACTAACAATGTTGTCCCGTGCAATTTAGTCAATGATGAACCACAATATTTCAGATAGTGTGACGAGGCCGAAGATGAGGATGATGAGTATAGGATGGTTGATGATGATTTTTCATGATGATGTTGACTCACACACTGAGCATTAGAATGATGATGAAGATGAGGACGAGGATGAGGTAGAACCTATTTGTGATAGTGATCCATCATCGACAACACCTGTTATTCAAGTGCATTTTGTAAGTAAGGACAAGCCATGTCCAACAGTTGAGAGAGTGCCTTCATCCGCGAAGCAGATCTTTATTGACTGGCAGTGAAGCTGACTTAGTGGATGACGTTGCAATTGGCAGTATTTTTCGGTCTAAGGTTGAATTGCAATCCAAACTGTCTGCATGGGCAATGAAACCAAATTTTTTAGTTCCGTGTTAAGAAATCTACCACGACATTGTTAATTTGTTGGATGCATGGAGAAGAGATGCAAATAGCATATGTGTGTAACAAGAATTAAAGGTACTGACACTTTCCTCATGTAACGACCCAAGCCCAAGATTCAGGATGCAAATGGCATATGCCACCGTCTTGTTCTGAGTTACTCAGAAGACTATAGACTATTCCTACAGACCAACATAAGTTCTTCTAGCATGCTTTGTCCTCACTCACTCAACTGCTTGAAAAGGAAGGTGCACCTTGTTAGTATAAGTAGAGATTATCATTTCTTTAAGTCTTTCTTGACCATTCTTCCATAATCTCAGGATCCCTCTCATTCAGATATGGTATCGGTACATTCATGTACCCCTTCTTGGTGATACCCTTTCAAAAGTTCAAGTATCAAAGTGTTACATTTAAAAATTCAGAGACCAAATTGTTATATTTAAAACTTAACTTAATGTGATTTTATTATAAAATATTGTAAGTAAACGAACATTTTATTTTTTTATATAACAAGTAGGGTGGGTGATTCAAATTCATGACCTTTTGATCAAGATGCCAATTACCGTTGAGCTAAGTTCATGTGGGTTAAGTTAACAAATGTATCTATCCTTAACAAAAAAAAAAGTTTAATCGATTAAACTTATAATTTTTTTTCTCAAAAAAGAAAAGTAAAAAAGAAAAGAACATTTCTCCTTCTCCCCTTCCCTGGAGTCTCAAGCCTCTTTCTTCTCCCTTCTTGCGGTTGAACCACTACTCAGCTCCTCACTCACCCTCAGCTACGCTCCTCGATTCCCCTTCGACTCACTCACGCTCAGCATAATCGTCAATCTCGACTTCTGTCTCTCAATCGGTCCTCCCCTTCGATCTCACTCACTCAGCTGCTTGAAGGTTTGTTCAATGCGAACATTTTAAAGACTTTGCTTACTTATGATTGCTGCAATCGATATTTAATTGTGTTTTTTTTATTAAAATTAATTTTGCTCAATACTCTATAAAATGTTGTTGGAATGCCAAACATCTTAGAGAAATTAACAATAGATGCTTACTTTCTTCTTTTTTGTAGCCTGAAGTTTCTGCTTTGTTTATTACTTATTCGTTTGCGGTGTTTATCATTTTTTTTCAACATTCTAGACATATTTTTTCTTTTTGGGATTTTTGCTATGCAATTATTGATTATGTTATGGATGGTAGTTTTAGCATTATCAAATTACTAGAGGTGTGAATAGTAACATATAAAAGAATAAAAACATATTACTTGGTAATACCATTGGTAGTTGTAACTTTATTTATTCTCAATTACTTTTTATTTTTTAATCTAAATATATTTACGAGAATCTGAATTCAAATATAAAAACCTTAGATCAAAGAACAAAAAAAACTCATTAAATATTTAAAACATGGTTGAATTTGTTGCAACCAAATATGACATGGCTAAGGAATCGGGTGTTCATAATAAAATAGTGTCTTTGATTTATTTTACCCTCAACGGTAAGATCCTTGAATTTTTGTTTAACATATTTACCTTTCCAAAAAAAAAAAAAATTATCTTCTCCTTTTCCTTCCTGGGTGCCTTTGCCGCACCCCTACCTCAAGATTTTGTTCCAGCCGCCCCAGCCTCCTCCTCCGGCGCGGCGTCCCTCCACAAACAACTCGACGGCGGCGCGACTTCACCCAGCA